TGCTATGTAAAAATTGATGATATGTATGCTACATTTACAACCGTGATTGTACTTCAAATGTAGGCATTGGCTATGGAGTTTGTTGCAACATCCTGAAGTTACAAAAAAATACATAGTTGTTCTTGAATTTAGGAGGGTTTGTTTCTACTTTCAAAAAGCAATATGAAGTTATTTCTATGATGTGGAGGTGCTGGTGTTGGACTGAAGTCAGAAGTCACACGACACCAGGTTATAGTCCAACAGGTTTATTTGAAATCACAAGTTTTTGTAGCGCTGCTCCTTCTTCAGGTGACGTGAAGAAAAACACACAGGCACAGAATTTATAGGCCGAGATATCAAAAGACCGTACAAATGATGTGAATGGAGTGTCGACAGGCTGAATAACAAGTCTGCAGGCAATTAAAAGTGTCTATGGTGTGAGTAAAGTGTTACCAGCTGAGTAGCATGTGAAGGGATGACTATTATCTGATTAATTGAGGCAGAGAGGTAATTACATAAACTAAAATGGTTCTAGAGACAAACCAAATGGCAGAATAACACGATAGATGTAAAAGTCGCATGCCGAGGGTCTGACCAAAGTAAATAGTAATCCAAAACTGTACATGCTAATTAAGGTAGAGCGGTCATAACAAGTTACCAACATGATGGTCTCTTTCTAAAGCTCTTTCCAAGCTCTCTTTAAAACAAGGTATAGCATTTCAAGAACTGAATTTTTAGGGAAGTACATAGTTTTAATTTTTGTCAAATGGCACAGTGTGGGAAAATGTGTTAAAATTAATTGCATTTCAAACTATAATAAAGAACAGCAAGTTTTCGAAATCTTGCATTGTTCTGAAGGAAAAACTAAATGTTTAAAGCTGTCCAACAGATGTGGAAATATTTTCCAACTTCTTCTCCTCTTGGCTGTCATCCAGTCAAGAATTGACATGGAATAAGCTGCATGGCATTGATCTCATTTTAACCACATTCCCTTGCATCTCCCTATTCCCTCACTCTGTATAAAGTAAGCATTGCCTTTTAGTTTTTGACTACTTTTTCTTTCCAGACCAGCCCATCACAAACTGCAACTCCATCAACAGCCAGCACAATGGAGATGTCTCAAAAGAAAGAAAAACCTGCTATTAAGGATTTGTACATCCCACCGCCACCAGCTGTTCCATATACGCCACGGTATGAAAAGCCTGTGAAATCTCAGAACAAAAGCTTCTTGTATCATTACAGCTTTAAGTGAGAGCTTACATGGGTCTACACAGGACGAATAAATATTGCAGATTTGATGCTGAGTGGTTAATTTGGAATAGCATGGGAAAATATGCACGCATTCTGTTTACAATGTTTCTGCAGTCAAATGCTACCAGCTCAACATTTGGGTACGTAGCCTTTAATTTATGATGACTGAAAAGAAAGCTACTGACTCAATCATAGAGGAAGAAATAGAAACATAACCAGATTTGAACTCGATCCTTTCATTTTAATGTAGTGTGTAAACAAGAATGGGGTGTTCTTGACTAACATTGATGTGTAACCCTGGGCCAATGACACCATGCAATAATGAATGAGAACACTATGCTATGACCTGGAAAGATCTCTTTCACTCCTCTTTAAAAGATGCATTAGATAATGTAAAAACGGCAACTTGAAGCAAGTGGAAATCTTGTGGCATTAATTTTTTTTGTCCCTCCACTCCTCTCTAATAACTGCTGTCTCTTTCGGTGGATAAACATTACATTTAGTGCGTAAACAATATTCCATTAGTGGACATATTTCATCATTTGAAATTCTAACTCACTCTACCTTCATACTATCATACTGTGTCTATTTATGTTTAAAATACTAGTCTTTGACCCACACCTTTCTCCCCAAACTGAATACGAAATTAAACCATGTTATGAACACTGTTTTCTTGGGGCACCTTCACTGAGATTATTACTAATTCTCAAAAGTAAAATGCTGCCAATGCTGGAAATCTGAAACAAACACAGAAAATGCTGCAGAAATGCAGCTAGTCTGACAGCTTCTGTGGAGAAAGAGAAATAGAGATAACGTTTCCAGTCTAGGATGACTCTACCTCAGAACTGAAAGAGGTTGGAAAATAGCAGTTTTTGTACTTTTGATCCTCGTCTGCCTCTGTTAAAGGGAATAGTTGGTGTGGAGGGGGTGTCTTGGCTGACAGCAAAGTAGACAAAACACATGTAAAATTAATCGTCTGTCTGTAATGAAGAGAAATGCTTATGCTGCTTGTGAATGATGGTTCCTTGCCGAAATTGTGTTAGACTAACTTGATTGAGTCCTTTTTGGAATAACTAAGAGGGCTGTTGAGGATTGATGTGCTGTTTGGCATATAACCTTCCAAAAAGCATTTGATTGAAGTAGCACATGATAAACCTGCTAACAAAATTAAAACCTGTGAGAGCAAGTTGAGTGGTCATAGATATGGAATTGGCTAAGGAGTGGAAAGTGGAGACTAGTGTTGAATGATTTGTTTTTCAGGTGCGAGGGAAGTATACAGTATTGTTTCCAGAGGTCCATATTGGGACCGTTGTTCATTCTAATCCCTACAAACCTCGACTTGAGTATTAGAGAGTAGTAGCAAAGGTTGCTGATTAATACATTTAAGTTTGTTAAAAGCAATGAGGAGGTAAATTGGTGAAATTACCAGACACATGAAGTTTAAATCTGATGTAATAGATTGTAGAACAATATATTTCTTTTGGATGAAATAAGTGAAGTGATCTAAAATGAATGGTACAATCTTAAGGAAGAAAAAGACCTAGGGATGCACATACACAGATCTTTTGAAAGTGACAGGACAAGTTGAGAATGTATTTTTGAAAAATTGCACATGGGATCCTAGGCTTCATTAGTAGAGGAAAAAGTGTGAAAAAGCAACAAAGTTATGCAGAAGCTGTGATATCCTATCTCAGCTGTAAGGGCTGGATGGAAAATGTATATAAACAAGGTTGTATTTTATACATGCCAGCCAAAGAGTACATGCTGACTTTTGGGGACTGGATTTCTGCCTTCTCATGAAGGTGGATATACTAACCAAACCCCTTTGCCCTGCCAGAGAATTACTAACTGTGTGAATTTGAAATTCATAACACTTTTTTGATTCTGATAAGTAAATTATCTGTTTGAAAGAATTTACCTTTAAGGAACACTAGTAGAAACATGCCAGACTCATTCTTCTGTCTCCAGAAGAGAATACAGTTTGCTAATTCCCTCTCTAGGCTAGCATTAATAGCAGAGATGTATTGAGTTACATGTCTTATAATGAACCCTCAGGCCAGCAAGCAAGGTGATATTCTGTGCATTTACCTGCATGGACCACCAGTTATATCTGACTGAAAACCGATTTCTGTCTGGTTTTGTGGATAATGGTTTGCTTTCCTAAAGGTTTAAATCAAGAATGAGGCAATGATTCCAGTTCAGTTAGTTAGAAATGAAAATAAGATAATGTGATCTTTCAGCATCTGTGTAATTAAATGCCAGGTGGAGTTGTCCTTTTTATTTTAATAGGAACATCAAGTGTTTTGCTGTAGGTATATTATCCAATGAAACTGTATCCAAAGATTATCTCCTTTTCTGCATAGCAATATTTCCATTAAACAATATTTTAGAAGTCTGTTCTAACCGGCACAGAATGGGAAGTTTGAAAACTCTTGGCTTTTTGAATTGTAACTGATACCTTTTTTTATGCTTCTAATTTTAACTTGGAGCACCTTTTTCTCTAGCAAAGTATGTAGCAGCTTTGCATCTTTATTATACAAGTCATAGTTGCTGCTTGGAGATAGCCTTTAATTTTAATCTTAATTTAATGTAGCACGTTGGTCTCATCTTGCCCCCCCAGTATGATAAGTAATTCAACTCATATATATGTTTTGAATCTGCCAGTACATCTGTTACATTGCTGACATTCCTATCGTCTGACTGTAGGGATTTTCCCACCACTGGTTTGTGGTTTTCAAACTTTAATGTATTATATCAACAATTGATAAAGTCTGGGGATTCCTCCCGTGTAACTTCTGAAAAATAGTAACCAAAGGGAAACAATACTGTTATGGTAAAGATTTTCTATTTGATGCTATAAAAGGACACGGGTCATTTTTTTTATAAATATAGATTAGTATTTTTCAGTTGGTGTCTTGATGCACCCTATACTAATCCTCACCAGCCAAGAGTTTGATGATCTTGTTCAGTTAGTAAAACAGAGTCTTGATCTGGACAACTGAATGTTAGATTAGCTGCAATCAGTATATGAAAGTTGTGGATTAAAATGCGGGTAGTGCTATATTTACCCACGTTAGTACCTAAAGTGTAATTTCTTTTGTATAAAGTACTTACGATTTCTGGGCAATATAATTAAAAATGTACATTCTTACTTTTCACTTACGATTAGTTACAGCTAATAAAAGTTATTTCAGTAACTGAACTGAATGTGCTATTTTGTTTTAACAGTTGTTTATGCAACCATGAATTCAAAAAGATTGTAAATAAGTTGATGCTTTATTCTTACATTCAGGAATGACCAGGGTGACCTGGATTATGAAGAGGTCAGCAAGCATGGACCAGTCAGGCCTGTACCAAAGGGTTCTGAGTCACCCAATTCTTTCCTTGATCAAGAATACCAAAGGCGGCGGTTTACCATTGCAGAATATGATCAGTTGCCCCCGTATGCATTTGAAGTGCCTAAACCCACCAGAATGCGGGACAAGACACAGCTATATGGTTTGTTATTTGTTGTCTTCTGAAATTACATGGTTGATTTTTGCTTAACTCTCCAACCCTCCTTGCAAACCTCAAATTCCAAACTTCCTGACTCACTGAACAGGCTAGACTTGTTTCCAACAGTGTTACTGAAGATTGAGGTCATCTGCATAGGCTGTCTTCAACGTTCCTCAACATAGGGTTCAGATAATGTCTTTAAATCATCATCAAATTTTAAAAGCTGGTTTTCTTTAGGGGTGTGGCAACAAAAGTTTGCAAGTATTGCAGTGCTTGCAGTGTTTTTGAATCTCCCTTAAGGCCATTCTTCTGCAAAGACTACTGTGGAAAATATTTGGAAATATTTTAAAATGGATATGTAGGAGCACAGCGGGTGGTGTTAAAGAGTTGAAAGAATATTACTGGTGGGGTTTTACGGGGGCCTGTTTTGGGACTCCTTTTGTTTAATATCTTCAGAAGTAGAGGTGATCGGGAGCAAGGAGTCACAAGTGCAATGACTGAATTTGTAGATGACACAAAGTAAAAGGAGATGGAAGACTCAAAACCTGAACAGAACAGAAAATGAAAATGTACTTGGAAATTTGACATATAGAAAATTAAAGACAGTTTCAACAAGTAGAAAGTTCATTATATGCAAACAAAAAAATTCCAAAATGAAACTTTATTCATTTGGAAAGAAAATGAGCATACAAAAAAAAAATCCGTAGTTCTGATGATAAATTGAAGCTAATGCAATAATGTGGTGGTAGTGAATGAAAATAATATTGGAATTTATTGGAAGTTCAAAATACTGAAGGAATCCTGCCACTATCTAAATCACTGTTGCAATCAGATTTTTGATATGGCAACCTATACTTTTCACCTGCAGTGTCCTTTTAATGTGTGGACAGTCAAATCTGAATGTGCGTCCACAAAATGGGCCGTTTATTTCATCATTGGTGCTTGGGGAAACCTTAGCAGCGATGCCTTTTCTGGCCTTCCTCTAGGCACATTGCATGTTGCAAACTTGGCATAGATAGTTTTTGAAACACGCTGAACCAAATTTCAGTGCTTGCCACCACCAGTTTGCTGTGAGTGCTGTCCTGAGGAAATTTGGAAGGATTTTTAAAAAATTGTCATTTAATATTGTCAACTTGTTTGCCATGTGACGATTTCCCCACAGAAGATCCAGCTGACAATTACACAGCTGCTCTCATTTTTGCTTTACACAAAGATATAGCCACTATTAAAAGGATATACAAGAAAGAAACAGGAATAAATGAAGGATTAGATTGAGGAATTGTGTAAATTTGAGGAGGAAAAGTTTTCTTATCTTGACCTTTCCAATTTTCCTGTCACAAAAGCATCTGTCCATGACAAGTGTAGGCAAGAGATTCCTCTTCTTAGTCCTTGTAGGGATGAAGTTTTGCCTTCACACTGAGCATGCACTCCAGCATGTTGTGTGGCACAACCACTGTGCTGAATGGGGTAGATTCTGAACATATCTAATAACTCAGAACTGGATACCCAAGAGACTCTGTAGGCCATCAACAATGGCAGAATTTTGTTCAACCCTCAATCTTCAACCTCTTGGCTCGGCATATCCCTCACTCTGCCATTATAGTGGCTCAATCAAGAGTGCAGGAAGGCATAGGCAATAGTAATATCAGGCATACCTAAAATTGAGTTGTGAACTAAGTGAAACAATGGCATCAAGAATATTTGCATTTCAGACAATAAAAGCAGCATGGAATAGATATAGCAACCCACAACTAATTATTAAAATCAAAGCTCTAGTCCCACCACTTCCAGTATGAACATTTAATTGCCCATCCTCAAAATAGGACAAGGGTCTACAACTATATCCCCGGCCTCATTGGTAGGGGAGCCTAGCATATCTATGTGAAAGATGAGTCTATGTATTTGTGTCAATCTTCAGTCAGAAGTGACAGTTGCTGATCCATCTCACCTGAAGTCCTCAATATCTCAGCTGTCAGTCTTCAGCCAATTTGATTCACTCATGATTACAAAATGGCTGAAGTGACTAGACACTTCAAAGGCTGTGAACCCTAATAAAAATTCCAATAATAACAGCAATTAATGGTCCTTGTGCTCCAGAACGAGCCATTCTCCTGGCCAAGCTGTTCCAAGGCAGCTTCTACACTGGCATTGGTAGATTGGTGTGGTTAGTTTGCAGCTTCACTACAATTTGTATTATGCAGCAACCAAGGTGATTTGAATGCAAGCCCCAAAGTTTGGTCTTTTTTCCCCTCTCCATTCCTATGTTTCTGTTATCACTATTATTTAAACCCCGATAAATTAGAAGTGATTATCTATTTGTATATTTAAAAGTTTTAGAAGTCACACAACACTAGGTTATAGTCCAACAGGTTTATTTAAAATCACAAGCTTATCTCGTTATCTCTCCATCTATACATGCTGTGCCTGTGTGCTTCTGTCTACCTAATGAAGGAGCAGTGCTTTGAAAGCTTGTGATTTTAAATAAACCTGTTGGACTATAACCTGGTAACGTGATTTCTTACTTTCTCCACTCCAATCCAACACCAGCACCTCCACGTCTTAAAAATTTGTATTAATGTTTTGGGGGGGACTGGGGGAGGTGACAGTTGGTCAATTTTTAAATCGGTGGCAGTCCACTTTTCAAAGGTTCAAAAATGAATAAGTTAAATGCATTTTGTTGGAGTTTTTCATGTTGTATTCATCAGGACATTTTGTAGGAAAACAAATTCAAGGGGCATACCAATATTTGTAACTCATGGGAGGAAAGTGCTGATTAGTTGTCAAGTGTCATTTAATTGGTCAAGACATAGCCGTGAAGAATGCATCTGTTAATGCTAATTGATTAGTTAACTGCCAAGCCTTATTAAATTTTAAACTAGGCAGGTTGACTTTGGATAAGGCATTGTAGTGAGAAATCTATTTTGTTCGGTTGAAACAAGAGCAATGCAAAGAACAGGGTCTTGTGTATTGACAGATGTATTATTCAGCATATGCAGTGCACCACACCTGTGAGCCAGATTAATGATCCTAAATTGTCAGAATAATTCTTTGCACGCTATAGATTATCCAGAAAACATCCATTTGCAGAATTGTATGAAATGCTGGACATTCTTGTGAGCTTTGCAAGTGAAGGCTGGTTGCTTATGGCCATATCCCTTGGCTATTCACAAAAAGATAATGCAGTTTGATGCAATATGCTGCCATCAAGGCAAAATGAGTTTCTGCATATCACGCAAATGTGGTGTTTGATAGGAGTGTCATTACCAACACGATGCCAAATATGTGGTTTATACATCCGAAAGGCTGACAGATTATTTCAAGTAGTGTGTCCTTTGCAATGAGCTAGATATTGTGCATACCTGATCACCTTGCACTTTGAAAATCAGTGTCCAACATTAGATGAGGGTCTGGAGAGTTAATTTTGATATCCAAGTAAATATCCCCATTCAGCACCACAAAAATAGTATCATCTGGTCATTATCATATTATTTTGGGAGCTTACTGTGTGTCATTTGGCTGCTGTTTCTTCTATTTTACAGTAGCGGTTACACTTCAGAAGTACTTAATTAATTGTAGAGTACTCTGAAACAGCCTGAAAAGTACTACATAAATGCAAATCTGACTTTTTTTTTGAGACACATTAAACTGAGGACCTTCGGTCCCCCTCAGATGGATATAAATAATCCTTTGGAGCTATTTTGCATAGCAGCAGAGTTCAATCAATGTCTTTAGTCAATATTTATGGTCTAGTCAATAATTTTCCCTCAACAAAAATCACTGAGGTAGATATTCTGGCCTCTGTCTCATGACTGTGTCGGACCTCGCTATTCCAAATTGGCTGCCACATTATAAAACTCACTGCATACAAAATGTATTTTATTAGCTGCAGAGCACTTGGAACCTCCTGTGTGTGAAAACTGCTACATTATTTTAAGTCTTTATTTATTCGTGTTTTCTAATTGCAGGACCTACTGACACTTGGGCTGCATTATAGCTGTATACTTGCCAAAATAGAAAGTAGAAACCACGTTCACACAGTATGCCACATGTGGGAGCCAATGGCAATGAATTTTGAAGATTTGTATCAAGCTGTTTGGCCTTTGATTTTGTAGTTGGGTTATGTTATTTAAAATCCACTTTTAAAATCAACGTGAAAGCCAGCTTCTTGAGTCACTCTAAGTCATTTCATATGGTTTCATTCCAGCCACTTTTCTCAAAGACGACTACATTAATGCTTGAACTTTTTTGCAAGTTTAATATGTTAGATTGGTCTAAGAATTTAAGAGAATGTTTGGCTTATCAGGAAGTGGTGTGCTCAGAGGATTAAAATGCTCTTATTAACAGGAAGACCACGACCTCTGTCAATGCCGGTGAGTGGGAGCTGGATGGCTGAAGTTGAAGCTTGTTCACGGCCCAGAGCGGAGGGAAGGAAAGGTTTGTTAGAAACTATGATTATGCTCTAAAAAAGAGCCACATCGGACTCCATGCTAACTCTTTGTCTCTCCTCCAGTATGCTGTTTTTACTTATCGCCTGGTCTGTTTGCTTAATCTATTCAGAATATTTAAGGAGTTTTCAGATGTCCATGTGATAAAATTGTCTTTTTTGAAAATTGTGTGGCAAATAACATAGTAAAATGGCTGTTCTGAAGAATGGTCACTACCACAGAAAGTGGTAGATGCAGGTACAGTTACTACATTTAAAAGACATTTGGACACCTTGGGGCGGCACTGGTTAGCACTGCTGCCTCACAGTGCTAGGAACACCGGTTCAATTCCACCCTCGGGCACCTGTCTGTGTGTGGTTTGCACATTCTCCCTGTGTGTGAGAGTTTCCTCTAGACGCTCCCATGGTCTAAAGATGTGAAGACTAGGTGGATTGGCCATGAGAAATGCAGAATTACAGGGATGGGGTAGGTCTGGTGGGATGCTCTTCAGAGATTTGGCATGGACTCAATGGGCTGAATGGCCTGCTACCACACTGTAGGGAATTCTGTGAATCTACATCAACAGGAAAGGTTTAGAGGGATATGGGCCAAATGCAGGCAAATGGGATTAGTTTAGTTTGGGAAACTTTGGCATGGACGACTCGGACCAACGGGTCTATTTCTGTGCTATATGACTCGACCACTCCGACTTAAAATATTAACTACTTTCTCTCCACTGATACTGCCAGACTTGCTGAGTTTCTGCAGTTTGTTTTTGTTGTCGATATAAATTGACTTGTTTAATATTAAGTTTTCTGTTCCTTTTTGTGTGATACTGAGTGTTTAGACCATCTTTGTATCTTGTGCACATGTCAGCTTAATAGTCCAATCAATGTTAGGAACATATTTGGGTTCAATGGTGAAGGGATGTTCATTACAATTACAATTACACTTGCGCATAGCCTGTTGAATATGGGCTTTTGAACTGGCAACGAGACATCCAAAAGTTCTCTGTAGACTATCTGGAACAGCGCATTCAGTGTATTTGCTGAGCCAATTAAATTGACAAATTGTTAACAAACCGTGGAGATTCTTAACCAGGAAACTGCAACTGATTCTAAATCAAAGTACAATTGATCCTGGAAATTCTGAAATAACAACACAAATGCTGGAAACACTCAGCAGGTCATCAACTTGAAATATTAACTCTGCTCCTCGCTCCATAGCTGCTGCTTGATCTGCTGAGTAACTTTGAAGTCAAAGTTTTAAACTAATCAAAATAGTTTAAAAATGGTCACTCTAGGGATTGTAACTAATCACTATCTTGGATTCAGAATGATGCATTTAAATCATGAAATATCATGTGGATGGTTTCAGCAGATGATTTAGACCAAAAGACATTGGGCAGAAGTAGGCCATTCAGCTCATTGAGTCTGCTCTGCCATTCAATGAGATCATGGTTGATCTGACAATTCTCAGTTTCATGTTCTGCTTTATCCCTACGGCCTTTTCTTCCCTTACTGATTTAAAAATCTGTCAATCTTAGCCTTGAATGTATCTGATTACCCAACCCTGACAGCTTTCTGTGATAAAGAATTCCACAGATTCACTACCCTCAGGAAAAAAGAATTCTCCTCATCTGTTTTAAATAGAGATGACAACCTTTGAATATGCAATTATGCAATCCAGATTCAGAGTTTCCTACAACAGGAAACAGCCTCTTTGCATCTACCCCGTCAAGACCCTTAAGAATCTTTATATGCTTCAATAAGATCTCCTCTCCTCCTAAACTCTAATGAGCATAAGCCCAAGCTACTCAACTTCTCCTCTTCAGAAAATCCATCCATGCCAGGAATCAACCTAATGAACCTCTTCTGGACTGCTTCCAATACCAGTATAACTTTCTCTGGCTAACGGAACCAGAACTGTTCACTATTTCAACAATAGTTCAACTAGAGTCTTGTATAGTTTAAGCCAGACCTCCCTACTTTTGTACTCCATTACCACTGAAATAAAGGCTAGCAGCCCATTTGTCTTCCTTATTACCGACTGCACTTAGATGCTACCTTTGACTTGTGTGGTAGGATCTCCAAAGGTCATTCTCCATTTAAATAATATTCAGCCTCAGATTTTCCTGTGTTATATTACATAGGGTTTTGCCTTATGTCATCCTCACTAGTTGCCTTCCCACCGGTTTTGTCATCCACAAACCTGGTAATAGCATACTCGCTTCCATCACAGTTAACCATTAAATTATATATTGTAAATAATTGTGGCCGCAGCACTGATCCCTTTGGCAACCCCTAGTTAGGGCTGCCATCTTGAAAATACCCCCTTTATCCCAACTCTGTCCTTATTGCCAATGACTCCCCAACATCATGGGATCCTGAGATAACAAGGTGCAGAGCTGGATGAACACAGCAGGCCAAGCAGCATCAGAGGAGCAGGAAGGCTGACGTTTCAGGCCTAGACCCTTCATCAGAAAATCAGATTTTATGAAGCCATGCTGACTTTACTTGATTATATTATGTCTCCAAATATTCTGCTATTATATGCCTTTATACCAGACTCTTAACATCTGTCTTTGGGAAAATATTATGTTAAATTGCTAATCCTTGCCTAATTATTTTGTCTCCCTCCCTTTTGAATAATGGTGTTGCATTGTCAGTTTTTCAATCCCCTGGGACTTCTCCAGAATCTAAGGATTCTTGGAAGATAACTGCCAGTGCATCCACTATCTGTACAGCTACTTTGTTTCAATAGCCTAGAATACAACCTATCTGGTCCAGGGACTATGTCAGCTCTTAATGTCCTCTACTGTGAAGTCTGATGGAAAGTGTTTAATTCTTCTGCCACCTCCTGGTTCTCCATTATTATTTCCCCAACTTTGTCCTCTAAGAGGCCCATGTTCATTGTTGTCTCACTCTTCCTTTTAGTATATCTAAAGGTCTTTATTGTCCATTTATGTAACTTGCTAATTGGCCTTTAAAGTTTTATTTTCTGCCTTTTAATTGTATTTTGGTTGTCTTTTATTGACTTTTCAAACTTTCCCAAAGCTCTGATTTACCACTCATCTTTTCCACATTTTTTAAAGTTTCTATTTGATACTGCCCTTAAAATCCCAGATTAACCTTAGTCAGTTTATCCTCTTCCAGGAATCCTCCCTCCTCACTGTGACAGATCCTTGCTGTGAGACAGAATGTTTTAAAATGTCTGCCATTGTTCATCAAACATCTTTTCTGCTATGCTCCTTTCTCAGTTCACTCCAGCCAGCTCTGCCCTCCTTCCCATGCAGTTGCCCTTTTAAAAGCTTAGTACAGTTGTGATCCAAAGTTTCTCTCTCAAACTGCATACTAAATTCTACCATTTATGGTCACTGTTTGTTAGAGGATCTTTTGTTCAGAGATCATTTATTAAACTTGCCTTGGACCAAATCTAAATTAGCTTCAGCCTCCTCCCTCATTGGATCCACAACATATATTGAATTTTTCCTCATGACTACCCCTGATAATTTGATTTTCTCAATCAACGTGAAGATTAAAGTCATCCATGATTAATGTACTGCCTTTTTTTAGATGTCCTCATTATCTCCTGGTTTATTTTCAGTCCTATGGAATAGTTTCTATTAGGCAATCTATAGACTATTCCTACCAGCGTTGTCTCCCCCTTGTTACTTACTTCCACCTGTATATCGTCCGATCCAAGATCGTTTCTTGCTTGCATACTAAATCCATCTCATACTAACAAAGTCACCCCACCACTCTTCCTTTCCTGCCTGTCCTTTCAAAAGCTCATACATTGCAGAATATTTAGTTTTCAGCTTCAGTCTCTTAACCAAGAGATCATACGAATTAACCTCTCTATGCCATTAATTAATTTATATTGCTTCAAATAGTATGCATGTTCAAGTAAAGAGCCATTAATTGTGCCGTGTTTTTTTTTAAATTTCTGTTCCCCCTTTGTATCTAATCTCGGGTGCATTTTTTCTTAATGCTTGAACTGTCTGTCTCATTCCTGCATATCATTGTCAAAACAGTTACCCTGTAATACCACCTTATCCTTTTGCACTCCCACCCCACGCACATTCTTCATTCTTTCTGCCCCCACCCCCGGCCCCAATCTTTAAGCCGTGCATTTAACTCCTTTGCTTTACTCACCCTGTGCAAACTTGCCCGTAGCTTATATTGTAATGCTGACATTATCAACTTGGGAGATTCTGCATTTTTGTTTGGCTACTAACTCTTCAAAATCTTTCAGCACAACTTACTTTCCAGTCTTATTGGTGTCATTTATACCAATGTGGACAGCCACAACTGAATCCCTCTAGCTCTGAGGAGATGTCCTTAACTCTACCACCAGGCAGGCAACACAGCCTTCAGGACTCCTACTTATAGCTGTGGAGAGCAGGATCTATTCCCCTAATTACTACCCCTACCACTGCTATGTTCTGTACCCCCACATGAACGGCTGCCTGTGCCATAGTTTTGTGGTCATGTTGCTCATCCTCCATGCAGTCTCCACTCTTATTCTCATGAGTTATGAGAACCTTGTGACTCTTGAACAATTGCAGGGACTAAGGCTGCTCTAGAGCTGTCCCATGAATCCCTTTACCTGCCTCATGTACAATCACACTCCCTTATTTTTGATCACAGATCAAGTTTGAAATGTCTCTTCTAAGTGATATGAATGCCTCCTGGAGTAAAGTGTCCATGTAACTTACCCCTTCCTAATGTGATCCAAAGTCTGCAGTTTGGACTCCAGATCATAAATTGCTTCAACTGCAAATACTTGCTACAAATATATTCACTGTAGATCACTTCTGTGTCAAACAAATGCTGTTGCAATACATCATGTGACTTGCTGTCTCTCTTATCTTTAAATTATTTATTAGTCACTCCAGTATCCCTGCTGATTATACTTTATTGTATTATTTCCTTTTCTTACCGTACTCTTTATAAATCTTGCATTTAACCAGTTTTTTTCCAAAAGAGAGAGAAATGAAAAAAGCCTGGAGACCTGAACACAAACTGAAGACCTTATTTTCACTTTGTAGACGAGAAGCACTCAATCAGCTGCTCTGTTTAGGCAAAAATCAACACTTCCCTCCTCCTTCCACTGAACTGAGATACTTAACTCCTGAACTCTTATTGTAATTCGCACCACATTGGTTACTTGTGTACGGTCCCAATGCAAAGGTCCTAGCTCACACAGGACCTGAGTTTTAGCCAGTTCTTAATTTGGCTACACTTAGACTTTTAAAACTGCCTATTTCCCTTTGCGATGCCTCTCGCCTGGAATGTCTACTTTTGAGACACTAGCAGCTTTGGATCCGCAGATCACAACAAATGACTCTCAACTGCCATCTCATGCAACTTATTCATGGTTTCAAAAAAAAATCAGTTGCAGAATATTCCAGCCATGAAGCGCAATATAATTATGCCTTAACTGTACATCACCCAAATTTACTGTTTATCCGTCAAGTACAGGAACGTAATGCTATTTCAATGATGCTTCCAATACAACGTATTCTCCTCAAATAAGGGGACCAAAATTGTGCACTATACTCCAGGTGCAGTCTCACTAATGCCGTGTACCATTGCAGCAATAAGTCCCTAATTTTATTACTTTCTTCCTTTAGCAATAAATGCCAAAATTCCATTTGAATTTATTATTGCCTGCTGTTCCTGCATACTCATTTTCTGCGATTCCTGTATGAGGACACCCAAATCCCTCTGTACTAAAGTTCTCAAGTTTTTCTCCATTTAAATGTTATATTTGCTTTTCTGTTCATCTGATCAAAGTGGATAACTACACACTTTACACATGTTAAACTTCAACTGCCAAATCCACATCATTTGTAAATTTCTTACTCTTCATTGATACTAAAATAGGTGGGAAAGTAAGTTGCAGTGCTTGAGTGCCAGTTTAAAATTGAGGTGAAATGAAGAATATTTTTGAGGTTTGCAAGTCTCTGGAACTCTTATCCTGAGAGCAGTGGAGACAGGTTCTTTGAATTTATTCCAGGCTGAGTTTGATAAATTTTTGATTGGCAAGGGAGTCCAGATTTATGGGAAAAAACAGGGAAATGGCAATGGAATTGAGACCACAATCGGATTCACCATGACCTTATTGAATGGAGAAGCAGACTGAAAGGGCCAAATGGCCTATTGCTGCTGCCTTGTTCCTCAAAACAGACTGATTTCTCTGTTTTTTTTTAAATATGACTGGTATTTTGAGCTCAAAGTCGGGAACTCTGTTTGGGTTGCAGCATGTGCAGAGGTACTTGCAACTTTCCCAAGTGTTGATTTCAAAGGATGTGACATGAGTTGTCAAAGGAATACATACGACCTAAGGGAAAATGGATGAATCTAGTAAGATTTTTATATTATTTAATTTGTTTACTTTCCAAGTTTCCTTAACTTCAGCTCTAAGAGATAAAATAATCTCTTTCAGGGGATGACTTTCTCTATAGATACTTCAGCAATGATAGAATTCCACCAATCAACGAAGATTGTGCTGCATCACATATTTCTCAACCAGCTGCTGGCAGACATTCTGGAAGGGCTGTGAGTGGGAGATATTCTGTCAGCCCTGAAACTCGCAACAGTATGATATTCCCTAATCAGCAAGATGGACCCCAAAAAAGCGCAAATTCACCACATAAAAGCTCATTGGAACATTCAACGGTCAGTTGGATTACAAGATTTAAGCTATTACCTCACTGAATTTTATATTTTTTTTGCCATTCATTTCATACTTGTGTCTGAGAGCAGTATACTAAGCTACATGTTGTCTCATTTTGTGATGCAATCACTGAGAAAAATAAATTGGTGTCACTTGGTCAATTTTTAAAGTCAGAGTAAAGATGCAGGTCTTAAGAGAGTCCTGTTAATTGTGCCTTATGCAGTGACTAAATAGATTACAATTGCAATCCAATTTTATCCATTTGATTTTATAATCACCACCTCCTAATAAATGTACAGCAAAGTTGCATCAATTTTATTTTCCTCTGGAGATCCTAGGCTAAGGTTTTAAGTCTGAGAGTATATGAACTGAGCAATGTGAGAGGATTTTGCATTGACTTTCATAGTTAGCTCTAGACTGACGTTTGTAGCATCTGCACATTTTTTTTTCTTGAGTAATGAGTAGAATTGAAGAATGTTACAGAAACAGAAAGCAGGGCAACAGTGTACATTTGCAAATGCAATTACTTTGATATGTGGAAATGTATATACAAAACTTTGTAATGCATGATTCATCAAGCAACTTATTTGTTCTGAATATCCTGATTTCCCTCTTGTGATTGACTTACAGAGCAGCCTTGTTGTAGTCCAAAGTGTGAATGATGTAATGAGTGAACTGGTTTTTGAAATTATCAGACCACTGATCTAAATTGTATTTGCATTGTTAGCTAAATCTTTTATGCAATACATTTCTGAAGGGGCAGAGAAACTCTTAAAGGGCATACTCAACTGGTATCATGTACCAACCTGGATTGAGGTGTCAGATTCCTGAAATTTTTTAGTGCTCCTTCATGTTTTAAAAAAATCAAATCTTTGATATCTATTATCATTTGAGTGAAATCATAGAAATTTTCAGCTCTTCAGGAGACCATTCAGCATTTCAAGGCTATTCTAGCTGCTGTGGAACCATCCAGCCTAACTTGCTTTCCAGTGCCTGGTCCATTGCCTCATAGGTTGCAGTACTTCAAGCATATATCCCAAGTAATTTTTAAATGTTTAGAGGATTTTTGCCTCTTGCACCTTTTCATGCAGTGGAGTGAAATCTTCTTCACCATCTGCATGGAATACTTTCTCCTCAAATTATTTGAAAGCTCCTACCTGTCGTGACAAATTTTTGCATGAAAATGTCTTAAACATGTCCCTATGTACAACTCCAAATCATTGATGTATACCAAAAAAAGGCAAAGGACCTAGCACTGAATCCTGTAGAACCCATTGGAAACAGCTTTTCAAGGACTCTGTGACAGAGCAATTTTCATTCTACCACTATGCAAGTTCTAAGTTTCAATACCTTTTTATACTTGTATGTTTCTCCTTAGATTTGTTTTCTTTCAATCTTGCAATCTGTTGATATTTATACTATAGTTAGACTTGGGTACTTTTTGCTGTTAGATTTTTCTTTTTTGATAGATTTAACACATTCTTGTTGAGACTGTTCTGAAGATAATGTATCAGTATAGTTTTTATTTTCGAATGCTGCCATTTTAGAATTGGGGTTAATGCTTATTTTTCCCTATATGTTATTGTATCTATTTTGCGTATTTTTGGGCCATTATTGAACGATTCTAGATTGGCTTGTATTTGGCTTTAAGTCCAAGTCAAATGTCTGGTTTTTTTTACTGGTTTGTGGAAGACAGATGCTTCTGGGTGTGTGAATCAAGGGCATGGAAGTTATTTGATGGACAGCTTGTTTTTGTTTTCTTTAGTGAAAGATACCTGAAGAATTGTGATCAAGAAAATTCGGTGTTCAAATTTCAGTTCCTCCGAAGGTCATTGATTATCCTGAGTTGTGATCTATGTCTGCTCATTCCCAGCTCATAAAGACCACAATCAAATACTGACTAAAATATACTTTTCTTAAACAACATTGATTTCTTTGCTATTGTTTAATGTGCAACTACTTCAGCAGTGAAGTCATTGAACTATACAAATATGTTGAGAAATTTCATAAAACAAAAATAATCAAAACCAAAGTTTAAGAATGTGCACTAAATGTGTGGAGTGTTTAATTCATTCAGGCAATGAGTTATAGTTCAGAGCAACTGGGCAATTTTTCAATGCTCTTTTCCTGTGATATGAATGGAAATACACGTAATGAAATGAGGCATCTGTATGATTCTGGTCAAGAAGGATGGTGTGGATCTCTAAAGTGGTAACTATAAGGATTGGGAGTTCCAAGTTTAGTCTAGAAGTGTAGTTAATTGGGACACAAACCTGCATGTCAATTTACTTGCCAAATAGTTAATTATGCACCTGGATTACTGGATTGTGTAGATTTACAACTATTTGGATGTTAATAGAGTATTTAAATATATATAAAAATATGCTTTACAGTTTTGTTTTTAACTTGTACAATGTTCAATGGTCTACCATGGCTATCAGTGTATAAACTAATTTGTAATAAGTGTGTTGATAGGGTTCAGTAACATACCCCTTTGCTTAAATTGGCAAAATTTGCACAAGAAAGGCATACAAATATTTATATGCAAAGTTTCTGACTGTGTCTATTTTTTTTAAAACATCTCCCCAATAAATTCCATTTCTAGATTTAAGGGGAATGGAAATGTTTATTGTACCTGTTTCAGGGAGTCAGTGTCTATACATGTTTATTTTGGGCTGAAAGAAACAAAACATCAACGGAGTTAAAACAGATTAACATTTCAAATATCATTTGGAAAGATTAACACACTTCAGAATGTAAATAACTGTAATATGACTTTGTCATTGCTTAAAACATGGTGTTAAAACTTGCAGGATTACTGATTAAAGGTGCAGTTTTTTACAAAAATTGTCACTTCATTTTGTGCTATTTGGTGAAGATGCTCTAACATAGAATTGGAGCTCAAGATTCACTTACACTGGTTCGATTTCTGGTGCAAAATAAATTGTATTTATTAAAAATCTGGGTGTTCTGTTGCATGGTTATAACTGTCTACAAGTCATTGCCTGCATTTATCATTCAGGTAAATTGATGGGGGAAGCAGCCAAGGAACGATTTTCTGAATGGGAACTGTTGGTGCAAAACTTCCGGTACTGACAGTGAAAAAGATGTGAGCTACCCTTGATGTTGCAGTCTGTATTACCAGCAGTTGATGTTTCTTCTTGGCATGTACCTGGAAATTTAGTCTAATATATTTGAATAATAAACATTTCAGAACTAAATGGTTTGCTGTATTTACAATATATACAATAATTGAGATGAGGTTGATTTAAAGGGAGAAACTGCAAATACTGACAATTTTTTTTAAGGGTTTACTTGTGTAAAAGTCAATTTTTTTGAGAACAACTTTTATAGGTCACAAGGCTTGGAGTTGTTTTTTTTTAAACAGGGTAGTGGATGATTTATGTGCCCTTATTTGGGCCCAATTAAAATAGGACTAAAATCGTGATTAATAAAAATAAACTATAATTTTCATTTTTTGATTTTTTCCTTCATAATATGGTCACTAATTTGAATCAATAAAATCAACACCGAGAAACGCTCTACTTTTTTTGCATTTACAATGAAATCAAATCATTAACATTTTCAGGATTATGCCTTGGTTCTGAAATTTTTGGACTTTTTGATCCTTGATAAAAACAATGATGAGCTTCTACATAAGATGTACAAAAAAGTTGTTTGTCCGGACCAAAAGTCACAGGGTTGACTTCTACATGCAGTTCTCCTTTTACAGGAGAAAGCAGACACATGGGAGATCACTTAAACTACATCTAAAGATGGGTTAACATTGTGGAGCTGTAGCTGAAATGTTCATCTTCCTGCATGTTGATGAACTTGCTGTATTGTTTTTAAACTGAGAATGGTTTGTGTTAGTTTATTGCAGAAAGAATGTTGATTCAAAATCACATGTAGACTTAGCATTTCTAATTATTAATTTTGAAATATCTCAATTCTAATTAAAGTAAATGATGCAATTGATCTTTTTATCATCATCTTACTGTTTACGCCCTAAACATCTATGGTTGGAGATCTATATACCTGTAAAACCAAAATTAATGATAATGCAAGTCTGACGGTTGTTCATAGTTACCAATACCTTATTCCTGCTGAAGCTTCTGACTTCCAGGTATTTATGTCTGACCTTCCTCCTATAATTTAATGTCATAGCTTGCAAATTGTAAATTGTCAATCGTGGAGGACTGCTCTGACTTTAAAACAAAACTTAAATAAAATAAAACCATACTTTTGACTATGCCATGATATTTTAAAATATTATAAGAATAAGAAGGCAGCCCCCTCAAGCCTACAGTAAATAAAGTGCAGTTTCCAAATCATCAATCAGGTGGGATTAGAAATAAATTGCCTGCAATAATCCCAGAGCAAGAACATAGAGATTACGATTTACTATGTTACTCAAGCAGAGTTGCCATTTGATGGAATTGGATCTGGAGAGATCGATCTGTGGTTTTATACATTTTTTTTGTACATTGGTAATGTGACCATGTTGACGTTTGCCTTCACTGGGGGAATCAATAGCTACCAGCTTCGAATCCCACCGTGGCAGATGGTGGAATTTGAATGCAATAAAATATCTGGAATTAACAGTTTGATTCGTGATAGTCAGCATGGATTTGTGAGGGGTAGATCATGCCTCACCAACCTTATTGAATTTTTTGAAGAGGTGACCAAACACGTGGTTGAAGGTAGAGCAGTAGATGTGGTATACATGGATTTAGGTAAGGCGTTTGATAAGGTTCCCCATGCAGAAGGTAAGGAGGCATGGGATAGGGGGAAATGTGGCAGATTGGATTCAGAATTGGCTGACGCTTAGAAGACAAAGGGTGGTAGTGGAACGGAAAATATTCAACATGGTGCTCAGTTATGAGTGGTGTACCATGAGGATCTGTTCTGGGTCCTCTTCTATTTGTGATTTTTGTAAATGATTTGGATGAAGGAGTGGAAGGGTGGATTAGCAAGTTTGCAGACGATACGAAGGTGGGTCACGTTGTGGACAGTGCGGAGGGCTGTCCTAGGTTACAAAGGGACATTGATAGAATGCAGAGCTGGGCTGAGAAGTGGCAGATGGAGTTTAACCCTGAAAAGTGTGAAGTGATTCATTTTGGAAGGCCAAACTTGAAAGCGGAATACAGGGTTAACGGAAAGATTCTTGGCAGTGTGGAGGAGCAGAGGGATCTCGGGGTTCATGTCCACAGTTCCCTGAAAGCTGCCACCCAGGTGGATAGAGTTGTTAAGAAGGCGTATGGTGTGTTAGCTTTCATTAATAAAGGGATTGAGTTCAAGAGCTTTGAAATTATGCTCCAGCTATACAAAACCCTGGTTCGGCCACATCTGGAGTATTGTGTCCAGTTCTGGTCGCCTCATTACAGGAAAGATGTGGAAGCATTGGAAAAGGTGCAGAGGAGATTTACCAGGATGTTGCCTGGAATGGAGGGAAGGTCTTATGAGGAAAGGTTGAGAGAGCTAGGGCTTTTCTCTTTAGAACAACGAAGGATGAGAGGTGTCTTGATAGAAGTGTACAAAATGATCAGAGGTATAGATAGACAGCCAGAGACTTTTTCCTAGGGTGGAGGTAGCTTTTACGAGGGGACATAGTTTTAAAGTGAAAGGAGGTCGATATAGGGGAGACATCAGAGGTAGGTTCTTTACTACCCTCTCCGGCAATGCATTCCATGCCCCGACCACTCTGAGTAGAGTCGGCCTCGTTAGGGGCATTTAAGCGGCTATTTGATAGGCATATGGATGATAGTGTAAGGTAGCGGTGGAGGTTAGATAGACCTTAGGTTTCAGGTAAAAGTTCGGCACAACATCGTGGGCCCAAGGGCCTGTACTGTGCTGTACTGTTCTACGTTCTATGTTAACAATCTAATGATGACCGTGAATCCATTGTCGATTGTCGGACAAAGCCATCTGGTTCATTAATGTCCTTTTAGGGAAGGAAAATGCCATCCTTACCTGGCCTGGCCTACATGTGACTCCAGACCCACAGCAATGTGGTTGACTCTTAACTGCCCTCTGGGCAATTAGGGATGGGGAACAAATTCTGCCTAGCCAGTGACGCCCTCATCCCATGAATGAATAACAAAAAAGGACTGAGGAGAGATTTGATCAGTTGGGACTATATTCGCTGGACTTCAGAAGAATAAGAGGATATCTCATAGAAACTTACTTTGTATAATCCTGTTAAAGTTAAGTGCAGGAAGGATGTTCCTGATGACTGGCAGGTCCAGAACCAGGGGTCACAGTTTAAGGTTACAGGTTAGCCTATTTAAGATGGAAATGAAGAGGAATTTCGTCTTTCAGAGAGGTGTGAGCCTGTGGCATGCTCTGCCAGTTAATATGGCTGAGGCCAAAATGTTGAACTTTTTCAGAAGAAGTTAGATATGGTTCTGATTTGGATGATCAGCCACAAGTGTATTGAATGGCAGAGGGGCTGAATGGCCTACTCCTATTTTCTATGTTAACTAAAACATTCTTGGTCAGTTCATTTGTCCATGTGCATGTGAAGCAGTGCGAGGACTATATGAAGTATTGCCCCTGTACTGACTTGTAGCTTCTATCTTAAAACTTTTATTATAAAAGGCCACTTTGTTTTAAACTGTATTTTCATAGCTGTTTAAACTTCAAGAGCAGGAATCTTAAGTGAATGATCACACTTTTTTCTAAATTTTGTTAAAATGGTTTTAAATTATTCCACTGTGCTGGAGGTCAGTATGATGCCTTTAAATGATTTTATCTGTCAAACTAGGTCAGGATAGCAGATCCTTTCTCTGAGCAGCAGTGGATGAGTTGGACTATGTAAGTCCAGCAACTTGTGTGGTCACTTTTCTTCAGGAGCCAGCGCACAAATAACAAGAATTGTTGGGATCATTTTTCACAATTTGCCATGATAGAACTCAATTTTTCAGTTGCTAATCCAAGATCAAAACATTTGGTTACCATCAAGAATTAGGCAGCAAAATGTGGGATTGATACCAGGGACCTCCTTTGATTTAGGTGTCAGCATTGCAGACTAATATCCATATTCCACCAACATTTATATGGGCAGTGCTAGCTAACCAGGCTTAACCTGCTGAAGTGTTATCCTAAGACTTCAAGTGATACGGTTTTGACTATTTCCTTTTACTGCTTGTTTCATTATGGGCCTGGAATAAAGATGCATTACTTCAGAATTGTAGATTGTGATGTGATTTGATTTGTAAATCATACATAAAGCTTTTGCAGACTTCTGTACTTATCCTTTGTTTAGCTGGAACATTGGTGTAGATGAGATTTGAATGTCCTTGATCTCCATAGCATCAAGAATTCTTAATCCAGCTGTAGATAATAATGCATATTACTGTAAGCAAAGCAACCTCCTGCCTTAAAAATACTTAAGGTTCTTATCTCTCCATCTCAACATTCCCTGCCCATAATAATTGAGTGGACTCCGATAACCAGCCACCTTGCTCTGGAGGTCAGTAAAGTCCCAAGCCTGATTTTTGTTGAATTGGCTTCAGATAGAGAAACAAGAAATGATACAATATAGTAATTCACCTCTGCCCCAGATTATGGAAGTGAAAACTTTTGTCAAGCTGACTACTTCTCATCGCTATTGAGTGAAGTTTGATGCTCTTGGATGGGTGTGACAGACCTGGATCTAGGGAAGCTGTAATAACTTCTTTTGGTTAAATGATAAACCAAGGTTCACCTTCAACTGGGTCATTAATCTCTGAAGATGAGTGCATTTTCCATTTATATTAATTAAAAACTTGTAGCCTACTTTTCTTTTGTTTCTCCTTAGCATTCTCTTGTTCATGAGATGACAGTAAACTGGGGAAAAAGAACCTAAAAGAACTGTGGTTGCTGGAAATCAGAAACATAGAAATTGCTGGGGAAACTCAGCAGGTCTGCCATATCTGTGGAGAGAAAGCAGATTTAGTGTTTCAGGTCCTCTGACCCT